GGAAGAACATTGGGCTAGTATTCCAAAGGTCGTAGGTTCGAATCCCACCGTGGCCGGGCATATTTTTCAAGCTCGCCCGGTGTGGATATACACTCAGAGTAACACCACAAATATCATATTCACCTGAGTACACTACACCAACACAGAAAAAAAAAACTGATATGAAAAATAGTTTCATGTATGACGGAGCACACCTTTGGCTTTGGAATTCTATTTCTTCCTTTCGAAATAAAATCGCTGCTCACAAAATTGTCATAGAGTAATAAGTAAATTGATGTAACTGTAAATATTCTAATAACCTTCTTATACGGTAAATAATTTAATATTCTATCTTTTTAAACTTAACTCTTTTAATATCTCCATGTAACATTTTTCTATTTTTGCACACGCCTCCGTGGAAATCAGCTGCGGTTGACGGGATCATGCAGCGTGTATAAATAAAGTTTCTATCTATATCTATCTAGATAAAACCCTCAAACTCGCTCTTTAGCATTTTAATTTTTTGCCCCCCCCCCCCCCAATAGCCGCGCGTTCCCTTTCTTTGACCCTGCTTTGACTGAAGATTACGATGCTCCCTCTAGTGTTATTTATAATCTCCATGGAAGAGTGGGCAAATATAATAACATTTCTGGCAATTTCGCTGAATTTTCACCGAATTGTACTGTGTTTTCCATGTTGTGTTGTACTCTGGACTTCCTCTTTATGAATTAACGTATTTTTGCTGGTGCAACGAAAACGAAAGAACGAATCACGTTGAATTAGGTCACCAAGACAGTTTGAAAGCTTTAAATTGGTAAGATTTTAACGTATCTACCTAGACTGCGAGCGGTCCCTGACTGCTCGCGGTGTACGTTCTACCAACAAGAATATGACAAATATTATGGACATTAAAATTTTGAGAACGGCCATATCTTGGTTGTATTGTTTATTGCCAAAAGCGAAAACCAAATCACAGCCAATTAAAATACATCTAGTATCCATTATTTATATTGTGCTGTTGATGACTCGGTAATGTTGGACCTGCACAACATATTCTCTACGTCATCCGTGAAGTTTTGCTCATTACTTTGGTTATCGGGACTGGTTTACAATGGCTATGCTCTTCATTAATTATAATGATTAATGTCTAATTGTTGATGGTTATTGATTATGTCCCTGAAGAATATTGGAAACTGTTACTAGTACTCTTGAAATATTCTCTATCCTTAATGATAAAAATTTTTCAACCCAGAATACAATACTGACATGAAACACAGTGGAAATTTGATGGAACACCTATATACTGTATATCACCCTATTATTTCACAATGATACTTACCGTATTTACTCGTTTGAGCCCCCCTCCCCCCCCCCGATTGAGCGCCGCCCCCGAATGAGCGCCGCATTTGAGATCAATTTTTTTTAAAGAGCGCTGCCCCCGAATGAGCGCCGCACTAAACAGTGTAATAATTTTCCACCGTCAAAATGGGGACATTTAGTGACAAAGACATTCAAAACATGTTTATTTTATTGTTAAAAGTTCTTGATATAGGCTAATTCACAAATAAAAGATATTTTTAAAGAGCGCCGCCCCCGATTGAGCGCCGCCCTCGAATGAGCGCCGCATCTAAAGCTCTGAAAATTTAAAGAGCGCCGCGGCGCTAAAACGAGTAAATACGGTATCCCAAGCCTCATGGGAACCAGATGTGCAATTGCATACTATTTATACATAAAACTGTATACAATCTATAATTATTATAATAATATATGCTGTAGATTAAACCAAGTATATATAATTAAACATCTCATTAACAATTCACGAGGAAAATACAAAAGAAATGAATGTTTAATCAATGTTTGTAAATCGGAAAAGATTTGTCCTGATTTACATAAATTTTAGCTTTGATTTTCTCGGCTTAGACAATGTTTATTTTTAAAATTACTTCGCCAATAAACTCATAAGATGGGTCGTTTTTTAAGCATGTTAAAACATTCGCATCCGATCTTATATATATATATATATATATATATATATATATATATATATATATATATATATATATATATATATATATATATATATATATATATATATATATATATATATATATATATATATACATACGAGTAGGTTTATGTATACGAAACGCAAAGAGTGCTCAATACCATAAAGATAGAGCAAATATAGAATTCCGCTTACCTCAAAATTCCGCAACAGTATGTTTCATCAGTAAAGAATCATCAGGCGGTATAGTTCTGAGCGCTATTCTATATTGTTCTATTCGCGAAGTGTTGTCATGGAAATAGCTTTAGCGCGCGCAAATTTGAACGCACGCGAGATGCGTCAGCAAACCGTTAGTTTAGATCACGTCATTGAATCAACTTCAATCCCCTGAAGATCGCTTCGGAAGAAGCGTGAAACACTGTGTAGCGATAAATATATCTTAAGATTATAGAATTATTTAAGCTCTATCGTATATTGGTATTGAGCACTCTTCGTTCAATTACGGACAACAAGAATTAATTAATTATATATATATATATATATATATATATATATATATATATATATATATATATATATATATATATATATATTTATCACATACTTGTACCTTTATCAGGTAGGAAGCAGCGGGACATAAAAACGATATCATCCCGGATATCATTTTTTGTCCCGGATATCGTTTTTTTGTCTAATACAAGAACATTCTTACATTTTTACCAACAGTCAAGTCAAGAAACCAAGCAAATCGTTACTCGCAGTGCTCTCTCGTGTTATTATCAGCGCGGTGTTATAACAAACGTTTGTGGACCTTTATGGGCTTTTCACAGTGTATGGGCTTTTCACATATGTAATGTTTTTAAAACACGCATTAGATTTGTCCTTTCTTGTAAACGTTGCTATGCTTTGCACGTCTTGTTTATAAGATTTTTAAAAGAAACAGTATTGTATTGTATTGTCTTGGACTAGAGAGAGCCCAATATCAGCAAATGTAAACATTTGATACTAGCCAAACAGAGAAATGTCTGTCAGTGATTTATCTTTAAAATTTTGGATTTAGTACATAACTAGGCTATAATCTACTAACAACTAGGCTATAATCTACATCACAAATTTTGAAATTTACAGTGTCAGACGCGCACAGACTGCCATACGAATACACATAAATTTTCGAGTTTTCTACTTCTACTAAGGCTACTAACAGTTTTCATTGTGTCTCAATCATCTGTTTATTTCTAGTTCAATAAGCTCATTTATATTTCTATATTTATTTGATAGTGGCATATATAGTGATACATGTAGGCTATTTACACACAAGCAATCCTGGATATGATAGAGACGATCAGTACGAGCTGTCCATTAAAAAAAGAACGGTATTCTATTCCACAAAGCAAAAAATTTAAATCTCACTGCACTTGTATTATTAAGAATATATATAAAGCAGAAAATTTAAAGCTTGTCATGGCCAGAAATTCAGGACAGTCAGCGGAAAGACACGCGGGCTCATATTCACCAAGTTTCCATTTCAAGAAAGAATAGAATGCAGTCGGGCATGTATCCGACATTGTATTCGTATGCAAATTTTATACGCACAATACAACAATAAGCCGTTTAAATACTTACTTGAGGTACAGTATGTTCAAGTAAACGAAAGAAAAGTATTTTAAAATAAATTTCCAACTGTTAAAGATGCCCAAATAGAAACTGCTGCAAATAATTTTACCACATTTTACAAATTTTCCCGCGAAATCTGAGCTATTTTATTGCGAAATCAACCTCACTGAGCCCACAAATACACCTTGTCAGTCATATAGGTTGCCTAGCAACAATTTTAAAGCAAAATGGCGGATCAACATTTACAAATTTGCTGTGTCTTTTCAAATTTTCGAGTGATTTGTGGTAATTCCAACGCTCAATGTACACATTTTCTGTTTGCTAAAAAGCATATATTTGGTGGCTTTTTGGAACCTGTTTATCCATCCTCTACGGGTTTGTAAACTGTTGGAGAACAAAGATAAACTCAACTTTTAGCAAATTGCAGACGTGCAGAAGCTCCATGTACTGCCCACGAACATCCTAAAATGCTGTCCAAAAATGTGCAGTTTGCGAATTTTGGGAGAATTAACTATCTGGTATGTGTGATGAAATAAGGTAGGAATATAGTTCTCGGGAACTGGTTTGTCCTACTTGAACTGTTCTGAAATTTATTCGGTTAAAGGATCGAGTAATTAAATGGTGTTTTGGACGTGCAGAGCTCGGATTTATGTACGAAAAATGTTGGAAATTGCTAAAACATATATTTGCAATACTTAATCTATATATAAATCGGCCATCTTGAATAATGAATGAGGAAGTACATTGCGTATGCCAATCGCCATGTTGTCCTGAATTTCTGGCCATGTGAGTTGTGTCAAAACGAAAGCTGTTTATAAAATTTATAAATGTGGTATAAACACAGTACTAGGCTAAACAGTGCTCATTGAAAGACGTAAATGAATATATTATCCTTTGACTTATCTTTGATGTATGACTTTACTGTAATACCGTAGATTTTCAACAGATAGTTAGACTTTGACATATACCATGATCGTTGAGATCTTGCAGGAAATTTTATAGTCTTGACGGGATTTAATTTTTTTGATAAGGCCTTTATAATCAACAATTTATCACCCAGAATCTGGGTGACACGTGACCAGCCGAAACCAGGGTCTTTCCTTCGCCTCGCGCCGTTCTAAGAAAGACCCTGGGAACGAGGTTGGTCCCGGATATCGTTTTTTGTCCCGCTAAATTTCGCGCCTTGTCAAAACAAAGATGGCCGACTCGAGGTTCGTGTTGTTTGATTGTTAGAATAATTATTATGTTGATTTATGTTAAGTAACTTATCACGTGACCACTTCACACGTGTATTCGTGCTGGGCACGGGCTGGTGAAAAACTCTTCTAGTTTTTGTTTTCTACGTTGTACACGTTTTTGTATTGCTCTATTGTCTATTAATAATATAACATATTCGTAACAGGTTATGGGCCCAGGTGCCGCTGAATAAATAGGCAATACGTGTTGTCTTACTTGTCTGTAAAGACGTGTATATTTTGTGTTTAACGAAGCGTAAACGTGTGCCAAAGAAAGCTGTTGTTTTATACGACGAAATTTAAATATGGCGGAAATTACAAAAATAGAAAATCTAAACGGGAAGAATTATCAATCGTGGAAGTACAACATCAAGCTTGTGTTGATGGAACGTGGTTTGTGGGGATTTATCGCAGGAACTGAGACTCCTCCAGCAGAAACAGCGACAAATGCAGTAAAAAATGCATACCGACTTCGATCGGACAAAGCTTATTCGTTAATTGCACTCAGTGTTCACAAAAGTCTGCAAGTACATATTACTACAACGACGGATCCTCGAGTCGCATGGGAAACATTGCAAAAGCAATTTGAATTTGTTTCTATCACACAGATCGTTCGACTAAACCGAAAATTTTACGCAGCTACGATGAAAGAGGGGACGGATATTCTGGATCATGTGACATACATGACCTCGTTGGCTGAACAGTTGCGAGAGTTAAAAGAAGAAATTTCTGATCAAAAATTCGCTACAGTCGTACTCGGAAGTCTTCCAGAATCATACGATAATTTTATATCTAGTTTAAACGCAAGGACAGTCGAAGAATTGAAATGGGACAATATCAAAGGCGCATTAATCGAAGAGTACATGAAACGGAAAGAGAAAGGAGAGAAACAAGGTCAAGGTCACGACCAAGATTCCAGTCGAAACGAAGCATTATTTTCAAGTAGGGGAAATTTCTCAGGCAGAGGAAATTTCTCGGGTAGGGGAAGAAATTATCAACGTGGTGGTCGATATCAGGGGAATAATTATCGACAGGATGCTCATCATAAAACAGATCATGTGCAAGGTCCAAGATGTTATAAATGTCAACAAATTGGTCACATCGTTAAGAATTGTCCACTTAATCGAAAGAATAATCAGTCAAATGTGGCAGAAGAAAGTACAAGATTAGAACAACAGGACGGTGAGATAGCTCTAAACTCTACATCGACATCTAGTAAGCAAAACAATCATTGGTTTATTGACAGTGGTGCAACAAAGCACATGACATTCCAAAGACATTTAATTGTTGATTATGTTAAGTACAAGCAACCATCAAAGATATATCTCGGTGATAACAGGGTGATTAAAGCATATGGAGAAGGCAAAGTGAGATTACAGTGTTATGATGAATCAGGTGTTGTTGTTGCATTGGTGTTGAATAAAGTATTGTATGTACCTGAAATAACGAAGAATTTGTTGTCGGTCTCAGCTATGACACAAATGGGAGCAGAAGTTTTATTCAATGATGGAAAGTGCTATGTTACAAAGGACGGTAGAACAATCAGTATTGGACACATTAATGATAGTCAACTTTACATGGTAAATACAGAGGATTATGCTCATATTGCGACAGCGAAACCATCTTTGGAACAATGGCATTGTAGATTTGGTCACCTAAACTTTGGTTATGTTAACAAATTAGCACAGGGGAACCTTGTTAACGGAATGAATTATTCGAATGGGAAAGTTAGTCAAGAATGCGAAGCGTGTGCACAGGCGAAAATGCATAGAATACCTTTTCCAAAGCAAAGTACAAAGAAAACCAGTCGACCATTGGAACTGATACACAGCGACCTGTGTGGACCAATGAATGTGGATTCAATTGGTGGAAGCAAGTATGTATTGACGTTCACAGATGATCATACAAGGTATGTGACAGTATACTTTCTTAAATCCAAATCAGAAGTTCTTTCAAAGTTTGAAGAATATGTCACAATGGTTGAGAATGCAACCGGTCTAAAAGTCCAGAACCTTAGAACTGATAATGGTGGAGAATATGTATCCCACAATTTCACCAAATTTTGTACAAGTAAAGGAATCTTCCATCAATTTACCAACCCCTATACACCAGAACAAAATGGCACATCAGAGAGACTTAACCGAACACTTGTTGAATCAGCAAAATCTATGATTTTCCACGCCAAAATGCCACTAAATTTTTGGGCTGAAGCTGTGAATACAGCGGTATACCTGCATAATAGAAGTCCGACAAGCTCGTTGAAAGATAAGACACCATATGAATGTTGGTTTGGGAAGAAACCAGACGTGTCAAATTTAAAAGTTTTTGGATGTATTTGTTTCGTTCATACACCGGACAGTTTGAGACAGAAACTTGACCCTAAATCTCGAAAGGCAATATTTGTCGGTTATCCAGTTGATACGAAAGGTTACAAAGTGTATGATTTAGAGTCCAAACGTTTCATAAGAAGTAGAAATGTTTTATTTCACGAGAACAAATTTCACAATTTTGAATTAGTTAACAAGGAAACAGTCTTAAGAGAAGACGTTGATGTCAATGAAAGATTTGACGAGGGCGAACAGTCCACTATTATTCGAGTTGAGCCGGTAGTTAATCCAACTGCACCCGAGCATGCAGAGGATGTCCCAGCAGTGGGAGTTACATTCGAGGAAAATTTTATGCAACAAGTCGAAAATCTCGGTCCGACAAGACAGAGAAAAGCCCCAGAAAGATTTCGTCCTGATGAATGTTATGTTGCAGAGTCGCTAACAGCAGAGAACGAAGAACCACAGTCTGTGGAAGAAGCATTAAGAGGTGAGCATTCTAATAAGTGGAAACAAGCTTTAGAAGCTGAATACAGTTCATTGATGAACAATGAAACATGGGAATTAGTGCCACCACCTGAAAGTTCAAATATTGTTGGGTCAAAATGGGTATTAAAAATTAAACGTGATGCTAATGGAAACATTGATAGACACAAGGCTAGACTCGTTGCGCAGGGATACTCGCAAACCCAGGGAATAGATTACGAGGAGGTATTTTCTCCAGTTGCCAGATACTCGAGTATACGAACTTTGCTAGCTCTAGCAAATGAACACAACCTAGAAATCCATCAAATGGATGTGAAAACTGCTTTTCTGAATGGATCAATCGAACACGATATTTATATGACTCAACCTAAAGGATTCATTGATCCAGATCATCCCGAGTATGTATGTAAACTAAATAAGAGCATCTACGGACTGAAGCAATCCGCTCGATGCTGGAACCAGACCCTTGACAGTTTTTTGAGAGCAAATGGCTACCGTAAAAGTGGTGCTGATACCTGCATTTACGTAAAGTCTGAAAGAAAACCTAATGGCTTCATTAGTTTCGTGATTTTGGCAGTGTATGTCGACGACATCATCCCGGTTTCCAATGATGTTGATATGCTCAACGCAGAGAAAGAATCGTTGTGCAGAGAATTCGAAATGGTAGATCAAGGAGAAATACATTTTGTTCTCGGTATGTCAATCAAGAGAGATAGAGCAACAAAGGCTTTATTCATTAATCAAGAAAAGTATTTAGAAGGTGTGTTAAATCGATTTGGAATGCAAGATTGCAAGTCAGCCTCAACTCCGCTTGAGACAGGAATGACATTCCATAAACGAACAGAAGACGAAGAATTGTTTGATGAACATATATATCAACAAGCTATAGGATGTTTAACCTATGCATCTACAGCAACAAGACCAGACATTGCAGCAGCTGTAAGTATTTTATCCACATTTATGTCAAATCCGAGCAAAGAACACTGGATTGGAATCAAACGAGTGCTACGATACATTAAAGGAACTTTGAATTATGGATTAAAGTTTCAAGCAAATGGAAATCATCATGAATTAGTTGGTTATTCGGACGCGAATTGGGCAGGAGATGTAGATACGCGAAGGTCTACTTCCGGATATGTTTTCAAAGTAGCTAATTCTACAATAAGTTGGTCTAGCAAGAAACAAGCGACAGTAGCCAAGTCCACTACCGAAGCAGAATATGTTGCTTTAAGTCAAGCCACTCAAGAAGCTATTTGGATGCGAAAGTTATTGTCTGATATCGGTTACAAAATCGACGAACCTACTGTAATGTACGAGGATAATCAGGGAGCAATACAAATTGCGAAGAATCCGAAATTCCATAACAGAACAAAACATATTGACATTGCATTTCACTTTATTCGTGAAAGGATTGCATCAAGTGAAATTCGAGTTGTTTACTGTCCAACAGGCGATATGTTGGCTGATATAATGACGAAAGGACTATCGAAGGAAAGGTTTGAAAAACTCAGAAACCTGTTAAACGTTTATCCGTATTAAAACTTTATTGATATTTTTTGAACATTTGCATGAAGACATTATAAGAACATAATCATTAAGTGGGAGTGTTAGAATAATTATTATGTTGATTTATGTTAAGTAACTTATCACGTGACCACTTCACACGTGTATTCGTGCTGGGCACGGGCTGGTGAAAAACTCTTCTAGTTTTTTGTTTTCTACGTTGTACACGTTTTTGTATTGCTCTATTGTCTATTAATAATATAACATATTCGTAACAGAGGTGTTACTAGAAATCGAAATTACAGCCAACATTGCATCGCCTTAGCCGAACGTAGCATTTTGTAAGGTTATTTGAAAGAGTCAAATATTTATTACAGTAATCGAATTGCTTAGCGCTCATTCTTGAGCTAAAATTTAGACCGCGTCGTTGAGCCGACCGCGTCGCAGATCGCAAACTCCCTATTGACACTACCTACACTGACACAGACAGCTCTTTTTAATTTATAAACACGTTTCCCACCGCCTATACGCTACACAAGATAAATCGACTTTGCTTTTTTATATGAAAGTTTAAAAGTAGCCCTTAAAAATGTGAACACATTATTTTAGACGAGAAACGTGCCATTTCCTAGATAACCACTTTAGATATATTTATGTACCTGTCATAACAACTGTAAGAGCATTTGGGTCAACATCAAAATCGCCAAAGGAATTGTTTCTTACGCCTTCCAGTAACTCACTAATGCCTTTTGTGTTTTTTTGTCATTGAATATCAACTCCATTTCTGCGATAACACTTCCATTCCTAAAATAAAAATGTCGCTGAAGTTCTATGAACTAGAGCTGTACAGTTCCAGAAATTTTCATTTTGGTTCCAGTCTCTTAATTGGGAGTGGATTAACCTCGGTTCGATGTCATCACAGAAACTTAATATACACCCTACACACAAATACACCCTAAAATATAATTATGAAAAAATGGCGTGCCTTTGTTTGCGCTCAGCATGAAAATAAAGAAGTCTTTCTTTTGCAGACATTTTGTTATTTTCCGATGCAGCGACACGTCGGAAACCAAAACTACTGTTTCTTTTGCGCATGCTCGATGCCAACTTTCGGTGCTAAAATTAGAACAAAGCCTACTGTAAGATACATGTAAATGTTAAATGTTGTATGCTCAATCATTAATTAAGGATTTTAATTTTAAAACCTTAAGAACAAAATACTTTATTTTAAAATAAAATTTGTATAGCACATAATATTTGTATAAAATCTTACGTCATTTTTTTATTTCTATCCCATCATAAGCGTCGTTTTTTTCGTACACTTTCGTCATCTGAAAGAATATTGTTTTTTACATAAACAAGATTTCGTTGGTAGAGGTGCAACGTACTACCTGTTGTACACTACCATTCTTCTTATATCTTACAGGTAGTTGCAGCCTTAGAAAGCTTGTTGATATTATTGCCTACACTTTTGGTGTGTACAGTACTTGCTATTTACCTAAAATACCAAAAGCACCAATCAATGTTATACTTGCAAATAGGATATATGTGTGGTTATACTGTTTGTGCAACGTTAGTAGAAAGTTTTTATGTTAGAAATCACTCATGCATATATATTTATACATAAATATATCAAAGCTATACCTTCATCTTCGCATTTACCACGCTTCCATTGCAAACACATTTGTAGGAGCCAAGAGTGTTGGCACACTCAAATCCACCAGTGCATGAATATAGAGTCGTGTTTTTACACTCATCTATGTCTGGAGAAATAATGAAAAACAAAATGGAAAACATTAGAACCAGTAATGTCGCTCGAAAGCTAGTCTAGTATCCTTTCTCATCTTGATAGCACTGGTCACTCCGCCTCTCTTATTGACTTTGAGATTATTCCTTGTTGCTCTTCTCCAGACGAACTCATCATTCGAGAAATTAAAGTCTTCTCATTAACAAACTCAAACCCTCTCTCAACTTACAAGCCTGCAGTTCGGTCCCTCTACTTGTACTCTGATCCATTCCTCTTTCTACTTTTGTAATATAATATCTTGTAAATAGTTGTAACTTATTCATATATCTGTGTTTTCCGCTTTGTATGTCATTGCTCTGAAGAATGAAGATGTCTTAAGTAACGTTAGCTTTCTAATAAGCTATATTTTTGTTATGGCTCTTTTACGTATTTTCTGCTGGGCATTAATATTTATCTTAAGATTACGATTTCCGCCTGATTCATCTATCGCAACTAAAAAAAAAGATAAAATCACTTGATGCATTTATAATGGTAAAATGCTGTGCTGAGTGGTTATATTACTACCTTAAAAAAAACAAGCAGAAACTCGACGTTTCGAGCAAAGGCCCTTCGTCAAGAGTATAGTAGCAGGGATCGGGGAAAATGCACGGGTTTTTATACTAAGAGTATGAAAGCATCATGTGACAAAAAAAACAACCATTAGGTGGACTTAATCATAACAAAGTGTAAACAAAATATGTAAATCGCATTGCAGAATATAATATAATTAAAAATATACAGGAAGCTAAGACAATTGCTACAAAAAATAATAATCAAAACAAAACACGAATGGTAATGGTAATTGAACTGAGTAGAGTGCAATTTCGACTGGAATCAAACGCGTGATTACAAAACCGGAAACGTTTTTGTTTGCAAAAGACACACCTCCGGTACCTCCCTGAGTGCTGTAGCATAGCAACAATAAGCGAACAAGATGAGGTTTTGTAATTATATTTCAGTACGTTCAAAAATCTAAATTGTTAAAGAAATGAAGACTAAGAGACAACACAATAAAGAATAAGAGACAACACAAGTAAGTTTAAAGATATTGTAGGTTTTACGAGTGATTTGAAAGAGTATTGGTGCAGTTTTGTGCATTTAAAACTGGAAATACGATAGGCGAATTTACTTTTGTTTTCCCTGATTTAAATTTGCTTTTGTTGGCGTTTTGACCATATTTGATAGAAGATTAATATGTTCTTTATTATATTCATTTTGAAATCAATGGTGTTTCCTGCAATCTGATTGGTTCACAGGTGTGCGATTTCAGCACGAATCGCACTCCTAGCAGCGCGATTCGTGCTGAAATCGCACCTTCTTTCAACCAATCACATTAGAGTGCTGACTTCAGCCAACCAATCACATTTAACCATAGGATTCAAACAGCCAATGAATTTTAAGAAAATGTGATATGGCAAATGAGCAAAACCAAAAAATTTACATGTCACGATTTAATACTCTTGAGTGCCTAAGCAATTTTTTGCACATAGAAAAAAAAATATGAATATAATAAAGTATAATATGAATATAATAAAGTATGATATTCAAAATGAATATAATAAAGTGGAAATTGAACTTCGTGTCGTGCAATTTTAACTGAAATCAAACTTGTGATTACAAATCGCACGACCGCGAAGCGGTCGTACGATTTTTTAATCACGCTTTTGATTTCAGTCCATGCCAAATTGCACTCCACTCAGTGGATTTCAGTCCAAATTGCACTCCACTCCACCATTATTGCTGCCGCAGCGAGCGAGCCTGAAGCGAGCGAGCAAGGCAGCAGATCCTAATTTTGTTTTGTGGGTCAAAATCAAAATTTTCCATTTGGCGCATTGCATGACGGTACCAGTGAATTTTAACCGTGGTGCAGCGCGGTCAGGCACAAGCCAAACAGTCAATGTGATCATCTTTTATCTTTGGTCTTCTTTTATGGAAAGCTATAGCTTGCTTGAAGTGATCAAATGGCATTTGGTTGGGTGCTTTTAGCATTATACGGTGCATGGTGCTTACGGCATTATACACGGTGCTTTCGCCACTATACGCGGTGGTTCCCGCATTATACGCGGTGGTTCCAGCATTATACGCTGTGCTTTCACCATTTATATACGCGTTGCTTTTGCAATTAATATAAGTAGTATAGGGAATGAGGGTTCTAGACCACTAACTGATTTGTGCTCTAGCATCACTTTTTTAAATTCAACCATAAATCACCAGAATTTCTCCCAGATTCTCAGCAAATGTTCTAGACCATTTGTCAAGATTCTCGGATCCCTCATTTTCAACGTTGAAGATTATCAGTCGACTTTCATCTAATCTATAAATTTATATCTAACGATTTACCTAATATCCAATTACATTCAACTTATCACTTCCTGGTGTTCTTATAACTTGAACACCAAGTGACTTCGCTTTCTCACCCAACACCATTCTCAAGAATCCTTTTTCTTCTTTTGGTAGTATGTCATAGTTTTTCCTTAGATGATTTTCATCAGTTACGACTACCCTCAATGGTGTTTGTTTCTAGAACTTGAACCTCTTCAGTGGAATCACTACTTTATGCTCTGGTCTGGGAATACGTTTCTCTGGATTTTTCCGGGGAGGTCCTTCGTAGAGTTTCAATGCTTTTTCAAGTCTGTAGTTTCCACTTTCAAGTTCAGCCCTTACTGTTACACAGCTCGGTTCTATTTTTTCTTCAATCAACACCTCAGCCTTTAGATCTTCTATTGAGTGGTGTCCTTACGCGTAACTTGTAACACCATCTTCAAGTAAGTACCGTTTATCATCGAAACAGCTGAGTGTGATTTTCTTCAGTTCGTAAGTTCCGATTTTATGTTTGATGCTTCGGATTGTGTTCATCTTATGTCTCATCAAACCTCTTGTCTTAATTACGTTCTTAAAGTTTTCGTGAGTGAGTTTGTCTCTGATCACATACTTTTTCACTCCTTTCGCGGTCATTCCACCTCCACCACTTTCCTTCACGTATGAGTACATCTTTGACCTTAACCCAACGAATTCAATCACTGGTACTCCCGCAGCTTCATCG